ATACGGTAAGCAACTTGGGGGTCAGGTAAGTGTCTTAATATGACGTGACAAACATACCCCATAGATGTGTAGAGAGTTCCCCAAACAGGAGCAAAGACCCAGTTAGGTGGACACCAGGATGGCTTCTGCAGAGATTTGTACCACAGTGGGATTTCCTTTTTGGTTATCGTGCCTCCTAGAAATCCTCCTGCATGGGGCAGGAGTGTGAAACCCACTGCTGGGGCCCAGGCTGATACCACTTCCATCGAGACCGTGAATCTGAAACAAACCCAAACGTGTTGATTAGCAGAGGGATTTTAAAACGCGGGTACAAAATGTTTCCATTTTTAGCAGATTTTACAAACATACACGTGTAGGATCTGAGCCACAGCCTGATCTCATCGCTAAGAAAGACTGCGGCCGAAATGAACGGATCGTGTACCAGCTTCCCTGGACAATACTCGCCCCCACGGAGAAGCCTCGTTTGCAGGGTGGGGAGCGAGGCCTTTACTTCCCCCTCGTCTTCGAGCGCTGAGATTACTGAATTCTACCCACGTAAATGTCCTCACCCCTAAGTATGCCAGAGGAATAGAGCCGTTTGGGATTATGTGAACGGCCCTCGGGGGGAACGCGCCAAGAATGTGTATTTCTGTGCTCACCAAAAAGCCCGTTTGCTCGACGAAAGGGCGCGGTCGAGGAAGAAAAGAGCGCGTGCGCGCTCCTGCGCTCCAAAAGAACGACCGTGTGTGTGTGTCACGCGGCATTTTTAACCTCAGAAGGGCGCTGAGGATGCTCAGGGGCTAGTAAGAACGATGTGAATGAGCAGCAGACACTGGAGAAGCTGCCCTGGAAAATAAACACCAGGGAGGACAATGAGAAGATAAGTACTTGAGATGATGTTCAGCTAAACAGGGAAGATTTCCGCGGGCGAACGGGGACTACACCTGCGGCTTCTTCGGGAAGCGTTCCATCAGCGGCAGCAATCTCGGCCGCCGAGCCCGTGAGGCGTGCTGGCTCACGTTCGCCTACAGACTGAGTAATGCCTTGTGCTGCCTCAGGTCGAGCGCAGGCGGCGGTGAAAAAGCACAAAAGCAAGCAGGAAAAAGTGTGGTTGCAGATTTTCTGGCGGAAAGCCAAATGCTACAGAAGAGCTGTCCTCAGCTTGCTGAAATGTAAACACGTGAGAGGTCAGATAATGAAGGGCAGAACTGGAACACATCCCTTTTTCATAGGTACGGTAGGCAAAAACACCCAATTCCTCTTCATCTGTTGCGCGGGAGAGGGGGACAGCAGGAAGGAATCGTGGGAGAGGTTGGAGCAGCGGGGAGAGAGCAATGGTGGAGAGAAGGTTTTGGAGCAAGCAGCATGTCAGAGGCTGGTTGAAAGTCCTAGTTATAACTGCTGGGATGAGGAGGCAGGGAGCAGGGAAGAGGAAATCCCCCCCGGAACAACAGATGTGCTTAAACCGACAGGAACCGGCGCACGGATGACGCTGCGCTGCCGCGGTTCTGCTGGCACAGCCCATTTCTGTTCGGAGAACAGGTATAAGCTCGGCTCTCCTGCGCTGTGCTGTTTGTCCCTGCGCTCAGGGGCCTGCCCGTCCGGTTTAACGAAGCGATTCCAGCGGCTGGGGCCACAAGCCAGACTGCATGGGATCAAGAAAAATCCTGGCGATAGAAGCAGAGCGGAAATCTGAAGGCAAACCAGGGAGCGTGGGGGGCCCGGTAAAGCACGCGGGATTAGAAGGGTCGTAAGGAGTAGGGAAGAAAGGGCTGCGGACATGCCTTCGGGGAAGGTCGTGGGAGGGCAAGGAACAGGAACGCACCCAAAAACGGGAGCAGACAGAGCCGTACAACAGTCGGAGTCAGAACAAAAGAACGGACGAGTGAAAGACAAACGAAGCAGGGAAGAATGCAGAACAAAGGCTGGGGAGAAGTGGGAGAAGGATGTGCTGGAATAACATCAATTAGGTCTTGGGTGGAGGACGGCCCACAAGGCAGGGAGGCTGAAATCCGCATAGCTCCTTGCTGCAGTCATTGCTGCCCTGCTTCCGGCCTAATGGCTCCTCCTCGCTATTTACCGGGGAGCGTCTTCAATGGAGCAGGGGAGTTCACGTCCTCCTACACCCCGTCTGCATCGTTACTTTCCTGAGGGAGCAGGCTGTCGGCTGCAGCGTAGGCTGCTTGTCACCCGAGTCCACGCCGTGAAAGGCTCTGCTTTTACCGGGATAGGAAGGAATTGCTATGCGCAGGAGAAAGGTGGCGTAATGGGCACAGGAGCTCCAAGCACAGTGATTGCCTTCGGATAAGTAATTCCCCAAGGTTAAGTTAGTGAGATCTCAGGAACTTTAAGTTTCCAATTCTTAACCCTGCTGCTCTTGCTTTGCCTACTGAGAGGATCCCAGGCTTAGTATCCCCCTCCAGGGAAGAAGGGATGAAAGTGTGGCACCAAGCTGAAAGTGCTAACTGCTACCAAACCGGCAGAAGACTGCTGCAGTCATCAGTGAGTAAATGACGTAGCCACGCGTCCGCCCCTCGGCGTGTTGGAAGAAAGCTGAATTAATTCTTAAATGACAAGAGAAAAACCAGGCAGGCAAATGGAAGGCACAAAGCGAAGGAACAGGGAAGGGGAAGAAACAGAAATGAAGAGACTGATGTACCGGCTCGCACTGAATGCTGGTGTCCCAGTCTTTTGCCTGCTACTACCACTAATTACATATTATGTTTCCCAGTAGTGTTTCTCAGGGCTTGCCAGGTGTAGCAAAACACTCTTGCGTAGTACCAAGGCACGAAGCCGTGCAGCAAGGTCAGAATCCACTGGTAGGCTCGGCCTAGTAGGCTGCAGCTGTCCGTCGGCAGCGAGAGCTCCCGTCTTTTAATTCCCAAGGAAGGAAAGACGAGTATCGATTCCCCATAAAAAGCAGCAGCTAACTCGGGGAGCAGCACTAGCTGATTGCAGAAGAAGCCACGGCCACCTGGCACAGGTCCTAGCGAGAGGGTAAAAGGCAAGGAAGCACCGGAGGGTCGGCGCCTTCGGTCAGCGCTGCAGCGTTCGCCTGGCTGGCTGTGCAGCAGGTCTGTTCCACACGTGTCTGTAGGTAACGTAATTGCAGACCGTGTACGGGATCGTCGGCCCCGACTTCCTCTCGGCACACGGCCGGTCACCTGGAAGGATTTGGGATAGACGGCGCAGGCTGCCAGCACAGCCCCTCTGGCCACAGCCGGGTTACACAACCAAGAAGGAATTGCTGTTTTCCCAATCGTGTCCCAGCGCCACTTCAGGGTGAGATCTGGTTGCACAATATTCCTGAATCCTGATTTTCACGCTGAACAAACCTGTGGGCAATAGCTGCCGCGTTCCCAGCAGGTATCCGCCTCTGTGAAGCACCCCACTTGGAAATCTTCCCCTCCCACGCACACCGAACTTGTTATTGCTCTTTCCAGCGCTTATCGCTGCCCTGCGACGTTTCCTCCGCCACCCTGCCCGCTTTCTGTTTACCCTGGCCTGACTCGGGGCGGG